TGTCCCTGCGGCCTAGACTTGCTTGGCTTGGCTGATATTAACGCATTAGGCACAAGGTACACAAACCCATTTGCCATACTTGTGTCTGGGGCTGCGTCTCGTACCGCTTACCGCGTATCTCGTACCTCGTCTTGCTGCGGCGTTTCAGGCCGTGTTATGAAACAATCAACAAACAAACCCGACAACAACGATGATGATGACAGCAACAGCAGCAGCAGCCGCAGTCGCAGCAACAGTACTACCCGAGGGTTGCCAGAGCGATTTTAATAGGGGTTCCTGCTGTCATCAGGCGGGGTTGGAGCGAGCTCCAGGAACCAGGAGCTAAATAAGCGAGAAGTCTATAATTAGAACTGAGATGAGTTTTCTGCTCTGACGCACATCTCTCTCCCCCTTCTTTGGACTCCCTTTGTTCGGAAGCTCCTTTGGTATGTTAATCTGTTTTCTGTTGCTACTGTAACTACACCTGAATCACTCGTTCAGAGCCTCAACGAAAGCCCAGCACAGTGTCGCTGGAACGCTTTTAATTAAGTTTTGGGACTAAAGAAGTGGCTGGGAATGTTCCAAAACTCCTATAGAAGGGTAAATTAAGGAAAGTCCTTAAGTCGATTGGAGATAATCATTATTTGAACAGTCTGCTGCTGCTGCTAATGCACCTGCTAACACCTTAAGAGGGTTTAATATTTTCAGAGTACCATTTACTGTCATCACCGGTTGTCATCTGTCTTCATTTCCACCCACTCCTAAAGGACTATTTCGGAAGAACTGTCAACGAATCAACTCCTCAATCGCCCCTCTTCCGCTCACATATGAAACGTATTTTATATTTCATTAGTAAACATCGCAAAAGGTTTTGTCGCATGTAGTTACTAACTAAGCGATTACCTATTCCTCCCCTTAGCCTTCGCCCTTCGCCCTCCGCCCGCCACTTTCTGCAGTGCTGTAGCTCGACTGACCTTCGGCATTTTGAACCCAATTTGTAAGCAACAGAAAGAGAGAGAGAGAGAGAGAGAGAGAGAGAGAGAGAGGGGAGGTTGGGTAGGGTAGAGAGGGGTACTACATACATGGCTAGTAGACCTTCAGTCCGCCCCAAAACAGAGAAAACACAGAGAAGCAAAACGATTGCGAGAGCTTAGGGGCCCCCAGAGCCTTCCCCTATAGAGAGAGAGAGGGGGAGATGGGGGAGGGGAGAGCCCACCTTCAACTTGCGTGTTGCCACCGCTGGCGGGGCCATTGAATTGTTCATTCGGTCATGGCTACAACTGTGCTTGGGCTTGGGCCTGGGTCCGGGCTTTGCGGCTCATTAGAAAGTGAACGCTGAGCCGCTGAATGCTTAAGAGACAATACCCGAACCGCACCGCACCGAACCGAACCGAACCGAACCCTATACCCACAGACGAACCCAAACCCAAGACGTCGCATCGGATCGGATCGGATCGGATTGGGGGTCTAATGAAGCTTGACAGGGCTGCCTATCGGGGACCATGGATCGGTTCAAGATTCACTCTCCTCTGTCATTAGGGTTTTCCATCTTCTGCTTTTTCATTCAATTAAATGTGTAACACACGAATCCACGACAAAGATGAGCTGCGCTGCTGACGGATGGATGGGAGATACGAGTGCGAGCACGAGCACAGCAGCCCCATGGAAATGTTGAAAGAAAGATGGGGCGCAAAGACACGAGACAGAGACAGAGACCCAGAGAAAGATACAAACCAACAAAAAAAAAAAACACACACAAAAAATGATGTTAGTGGGAAATTTTTGTGGTTTCATGAAGTACTGCGCCGCCGAGTACTCCGATAGTCCGATTCCGACTTGGAATCACTTTCACTTGCACTTCGCTTTGCTTTCCTCCGCCCCGCCGCTCCACTTGTTGTTTCTTATCTTGGCCATGAATGAATCCCCGCCACCCCCCTCCATACACCTCTCTTCATTGAGTGGGGCTGCGGCTGCCCACTGGCCAAGCTTTTTGTATACCGCTTGCCGCTTGCCGCCGCCGACGCCGCAATGCCACTGGCGCCTTCATCAATCAACGAGCAGCGGCAGAGGCAGCGGCAGAGGCACCAGCCGAGGCAGCAGCAGCAGCGTTGGCCGTGCTTGCCGCTCATGTGGCATAGACAATGGGAAAGTTCGCCCACAAGGGTTCTCTGTGCCGCCCGCCCCCGTTCGGCTCTAAATCACGTACCACCTCCACACCCTCCCATCCCCATCGGTATGTGTATCATTACCTCGTGTCTCTCGTCCATTGATTTTCGTGTGTGCATTTTTCATTGGAAAACTCATGTTTACAAGCGATTAGCAGCTTATTATTATTATTTTTTTTTGGTGGGGGGGGTCCGCCTGTTAACATTGCTGTTAACAGGCATCGTCTGGCTGCCGACGTAATTGTAGTTGTCGTTTTTGTGTTTGATGTCGCTGTTTGTGTGCTGATGTATGTCATCATTGTATTTGTGGTTGTGGTATTGGCTGTGTGCATTGCATTTGGAACCGCTGCTGTGGCCGATCGAGCGGGGTTTGTGCCATGGCTGTGGTTCGAGTTCGAACTCGCTCCCGAACGGGCACTCGAGCACGAATCTTGTGTTGGCTGCTGTTCGTGTAGAGGCTGCTCGAGTGCCCTCTCGTACTGTCGCTGGTACGAGGTCGTTACCCGCTCTCTCTTTGCGCCTTCTCTCGTTCCTTGCTGTTTCCGGCTCTCTCCACACGAAGCATCGGCATACGGTGCATCGATACGTGTATGTGTGTGTTGGAGTGTGGGAAGCGGAATTATTGGCGCGCTCGGTACCGCTAGGCTTGGCTTGGCTTGGCATAGCGGTGCTTGACATTGCGGTGCTTTGGCTGACGCCGCTGCCGCTGCCGACGCCGCCAATGCCTCAAGCCGGCGACTACCGCTGCTGCTGCTGCTGATGTTCTGCTGCTTCTGCTGCCGCTGGCGTTCCTGGGTATGGACCGCCTCAACCCAATCGCCGATCTGGAACTGCTCCTGGCTGGTGAGATTGGGAATGGCCGCCCAGCTGTTGGGGCAGGGCAGGTCGGGGATGGGGCTTGTGGCCGGAGTGGCCGTGATGGTGGTGTCGGTATTTGTGGTCCTCACATACCCGGTAATGGTGGCTGGAGCCGGTCCAGGAATTGGAGGAAGTGCCTTCAACCAGGTGGCGGAGTCGGTGGATTGGCGTCTCAGTATCGCTGCGTTTGCCACGGCGCCGGTGGCTGCGCTGTCGGCGCTGGCTTCGCCGTCGGCGGCGCTGTCGGAGCTGGCAGTGGAAATGGCTGATTTGGGGCGATCCCTGGCTGTGACGCCGTGTGGTCCTCGTCGTCGTCGTCCTCTTCTGGCAGTGGAACCGCGTGGCATAGCTGCGCTGGATTGGCTTTGGTTGGATTTGGTAATAAAGTTTTTCGACCGACGCGAGTGGAGATTTTGTCAAGTCAGATTGATTCACACAGTTTTTTCGCTTTTTTTTTTTTCCAATTATATACCCGCTTTGGGTTGAGGGCTCTCAGTGTTCCATACAGGGGAGGAACTGAGAGGCTGGGGTGTGAGCCGCCAGCAACCAAGCGCGTTGCTTTATTAATTTCTCTTTGTGGGCAGTATATGTCTTAATTTAGTAGATGTACATTTTTGTTTGTTTGTTTTTTACAAAGAGAAAGAGAGAGAGATAAACTTTTCGGCACTTTGACGGAGGGACTAAACCTCAAACACGACTCGACTCCACAACGTTCACGACACGACTTTTTCTCGTTTGGACAGAGATCCAGATTCGAGACTCGATTCCACGATCGGGGCAAAAGGCTCCAAAAGTATGAATTGTCAAGAGGGTGTCAAGTGTGTGTGTGTGCGGTGTGAGTCAAGAAAGTAAAGTGGGGCCACGCTCAAAAGTATGCTGTCTCTTCCTTGAAATTCTCCCTAACTTAAAATTTGATTTGTAATCCCCTGTGAGTTTGTCAACTTGATGTTTTGTTGGTTGTAATGCGGTATGTGGTCTTCAGTCCCCTCTACTACCCTTGCCGCCTGCTGAGGGCAGACGACTAGGAATGTATCATGTACATGTGGGCGGGCAGTTTATAGGGAACGTAGTGGATATATGCGAAGACTTGCATATTTGGCTCAATTTAGGCCGTAGTGGTGGGGTGTGGCGGCAACTGATGCTGATTTGAAAGTCGATTACGAAACCGATAATCAATTGTCAGCACCGTTGCCGCCGAAGATTTATCACAGATTGTAATAATTTTTTTTTAGTGGGGTGTCGGAGAACCGCACTAATTACGATAGTAACAATAAGGGGGGGGGGAAGAAGGGGTTAAAGAAATGAGATCGAAATGTGCAGAAATGTGCAGTGTTGCAACACGTAGTCAATTGGGGAATAGATAAAGGGAAAAGGTAAACAATGCATGTGCTTTGCATGGAAAATAAGTGGAAAGGCACTAAATAAAAGAGACAAGCACTTGCAGAAATAGCAATACAGATAAGTAATAGACTGGAGTGGAGACGACGGAAAAACAGGTAATAAAAGAGATACTACACTGGAACAAAGACGAGACAAAACAGGTACAATTGATTTACGTTTACAATATTACAATAAACATAACAATTTAAAATAATGTCTATATCTTTTACTATAATTACAGGGAAGACAAGAAGCATCGGCCGGCATAGCAAAACACAATGCTTGTAAAGACATTGCGTTGCATACCGGCCGACCCCGTCGTCCCCCCTGGTCGTCGAAATTGGCGTCCTCCGGAGTCGTCAGAGGTAGGTGCAATTAGCACCTCGTCGTCGTTGTGGCTGTGGCTGCCCTCTTGGAGGACCAGTGGCACTGGTCCGGCCACCAGCTGGGAGCCAGGAGTAGATGGATGTGAGTGTGTGTGTGTGCGTCGGTAATTGTGGCCCTAGTGTAGAGCGAGTGGCTCTGGTCCGGCCACCAGCTGTGGGCAATGGCGGTCGATGACACGCCTACTCGAACGGCACAGGTCCGGCCGCCCAAGTGCAATGGATGTTTGTGTGTGTGTGTGTCTGAATGGCTGGCGGTAAGTATTTTCAGAGCCCTTTTTTAATCGTATGTGTGGCTGATGGGTTTTTCCTTTTCCAGGACCATAGGGCACTCTGAATGCCATGGCACTGGATCCGGCCACCAGCTAAGGACGATGGCGATGGCATAACTCGAACGGCACAGGTCCGGCCGCCCAAGTGTAATGGATGTTTGTGTGTGTGTGTCTGAATGGCTGGCGGTAAGTATTTTCAGAGCCCTTTTTTAATCGTATTTGTGGCTGATAAATTTTCCCATTTCCAGGACCATAGGGCACTCTGAATGCCATGGCACTGGATCTGGCCACCAGCTCAGGGCAAAAGCAGACACCTCACACAAGATTCGAGCGGCTCGAAGCCAGCCCCCGATTTGGATTGGATGTAGTTGCGTGTGTTTCTGCATTTGGGTTTGTAAGCAAGCATCAGCGCTTTGCATACTGGCGGCTCTGATCCGGCCGTCAGTTTTTGTTGTTGTGTGAGGCAGATTTTCATTGGTGTTTGGTCTAATGGCTTGTTTTCTTTTTTTGTTTCAGGTGTGCTGGCTACAGCCCCCATGATTTAGGCGCTCACGTTCCCGCCATCACCCCTCTCCTTTGACCTGAAGAGAGTGAGTGTGCGTGTGTGTGTCGCCAGCTGGAATGGCGTCGATCTCATTCAGTCGTCTGAGGGACCCTATATCCTCAATAGTGACGGAGGAAATATACAGAGGGCCCCCATTCGCCCAATCGGATACGGGAGTACACTTTCCAATAGATTGATGGAAGGATGGGCAGTTCTTCGGAGTGCTGTGAGTATTTGGATAGCTCCTTCAGTTCGATCTAACGCGGTTAATGGGTCAGCAGCTGTGTCTATTGTAGTTACTCTTGGGGCTGTAGTTGAGCTTGTAGGTGGTTTGTTGAGTCTTCGTCTGAGATTGTTATTACTAGTGCTGCAGTGTCAATTGCTGTGGAGGGTGGGCCATTTGGAATTTCGTCCGATATGACTATGGTGGCTGGCGTGTAGTCAGGGATCACCAGCCTCTGCACTGCCAGGTTTTGGCCCTCCATCTGCCTAATGGCCTCCTCCCTTGTATACTGGCCATTAGCGTAACGTCGCTTGATTACGTTTATAACTGATTCACAGTATCGGCTTGCTGGTCGGCGTGCTCTCTCTTCCATTTGTTGAGCTCGTTGCAGTTCCTTTCTTGCAGTCTCCTGCTTTTCCTTAGCCTCCTCTTGGATCCGCAGAAGAGTGGGTAGCTGGTTGGTGGTTTCGCGAGGCGCGTGTTGGGTGCTAGTGGTGAGGCTCTGCTTTTGCTGTTGTGTGATGTTAGCCTGAGCCTGCAGAGGTATAAAGTGGTTGGTTATTTGGTTTAGGTAGCCTTAGTTTGGCCTTAGTAGTCTTGTTGGAACAAATGGATTGGCAACCAGATTGCGGGCTTCTGGATTTGTGTGGGTGGCTAGGGCAATGGCGTATCGGCCGCTGGCTTTTTGGAAAAGCTCTTCCACAGTGAGTAGGTCGTATCTCGCCCTAAGTGCTTCGTTTCTGGCATATCTTCCCGCTTTAAGAGAGCATCTTTTTAGTTTGTTGTACGGTCCCTGTATTCTTTTGATTTGCGTGTTGGAGCATAGGGCACCCCAGAGTGGGGCGATGAGCTATCTTATCATCAGCATTTTACATTTCTTTGCCAGCTTGCTTCCTGCACCGATCAGCCAGTTCAATTTTTTGGCTCTGGCCCACATTTTTATTCGGAGTTGCGTCACGTGTGCACTCATTGTAAGTCCGCTGTCAATCTTGACGCCCAGATAAATAGTGCTTTTTTTGACTGGGACCAGTTTGCCATCTATTTTTATTGGGATGTTGTTAATCTGTACTCTTCTTTTGGAGAAAATGACGTGTGCCGTTTTTATTGGGTTGATGGTTATGGACCATTTTTTAGCCCATATTACCAGTTGCGTTAAGTAGTTGTTGTTTCGTTTGACCGCCATTGCGGGATAGTCTCCCATGCTCAGTATGGCCGTGTCGTCCGCATATGTAGATAGGAGCATTTTTTTGGGGCCCGGATTCGTATGTAAACTTCTGTGCGTGAGCGCAGGTAGTGGCATGTCGGAGGAGAAGATCGTGTAAAGGATGGGGCCTAGCACACTCCCTTGAGGAACTCCAGCTGTGATTCGCCCTGTCCTAGACTTGATGCCATCGTTGCATTTAATGGCAAAAGTTCTCCCAGACAGGTAGTTTTCTAGGATTGTATAGAGTCTGAGGGGAAGTATTTTTATTAGTTTTGACAGTAATCCTTCATGCCAGACACGGTCGAAGGCCTCAGCTACGTCAATGAATACTGCTGAGCAGTACTGTTTTTCCTCGTAGGCCCTGAGGATAAATTGGGTGACTCTGGTCAGTTGCTGCTCTGCGCCATGCTCCTTCCTGAAGCCGAACTGGTGGTCCGGGATGGCTTTGTGAAATGCCTCTTCGCTCAGCAGCCGTTTGAGCAGGAGTCTCTCAAATACTTTTGAGAGGCCCGATAGGAGGCTGATTGGGCGGTATGACTTCATATGTGAGGGATTTTTCTTTGGCTTTGGGATCATAACTATCTCTGCGTGTTTCCATATCCTAGGGTAGTGGCCTATTCGTAAGATTGAATTAAATATTAGCAGGAGATAGAGGTTGGCTTTTTTTGGTAATAGTTTTATTAGCCTATTGTCAATGTTGTCCTCCCCTGGGGCCTTCTTTGTTTTTAGTAGTCCGATTTCTTTTTGCAGTTCCTCCAGAGTAATTGGTTTCGTAAAGTGTTTTTTATGCTGCAGCTCATTGGCGGCGTTGTCATCTTGCATGGTCCGCTTTTGCCTTGTCAGTTCTTCAATTATTTTTGTCCTTTCCGTGGCTGTGCTTGTGTGAAGTGGGGTGAGTCTTTCCTCCATATGATTGGCGAAAGCTTCTGCCTTCTCGAGGGTGCTCCGAGTCCATCTTATTTGTTCATCGTCATTCGTCTTAACTGACCAGTTTGGTATCGGCTGTTTCTTGATTAATTTGGTCATTTGCCACAACTTGGCCAAGTTGTGTCCGTCCGTGGAGCTTATAGCTCTCAACTTGCCATTGATTTTTTCCGTTTTAGTGGCAGCCAAGGCCTTGCTCAGCTTGTTTTGGGCTTTCCTGTAGAGCTTCCTGGACTCAGTCGTTCTAAGTGCCAGAAATACTCTCTTTTTCTCTTGCTTTTCTTCCAGTAGTTGTCTAGTGGGACCGTCGAGGATGGCGTGTTGTCTGTAGTAGGCTTTGGTGTTTGGTTGCGGGCATTTTTTGGAGGCGATGGCAGCCGCGTCTGTAATATTCTTAGTGAAAATGTCCACCGCGTCGTCAATGTCTTGGCCAGAATTTACCTCCGTGTTCAGGTGAATATTTTGTTCGAGATATTCCTGGAATTTTAGTTTGTTGGCTCCCTTGGGCAGTAGTCGGGAGATATGAGTGGGCTTGTTGGAGGAGTTATGTTGGCCAGGCTTGTAGAGGTGGATTACCATTGGCAGGTGGTCTGAATCCAGGTCCATGGAGGCGTGGATCATGACTTGGTTCTTTTGTACTCCACTTGTAATGGCAAAGTCGATGGCAGAGGGAGTTTTTCTCCGATCGTAGGGGTAGTGGGTGGCCGCACCAGTGGCCAGGACATTGTGTTTTTTTCGGAGCTGGGTCGCTTCAAACAAGTCCCTTCCTCGCTGGCAGGACCTAAAGTTACCCCACCAAGGGTGTTTGGCATTCCAGTCACCGCATATTATGTACTTGTTATTTGGCGAGCCACTCGTCGTTATGTTAAAGACTGTAAAAAGCTGATGGAATTCCTTCTTTGTCCATCTGTAGGATGGCGGGCAGTAGAGCGGTGCGAGAACCGTCGTTCCCCTATCACTACCGTCATCTGGTAATAGGGAAACGGGGGCACATTGGATTTTTTCGCTGTTGATTGGCTGGAGAGCTGTATGCTTTACGTCAGTGCGGACCAGTGTGGCTATTCCCCCTCGACGCCTATTGGTTGGGTTTTTGGCGTAGTATTTGCATCGTGTCTCAATGACCATCATGACATGGAGGCCCTCCCGGTCCATGAACATCTCTAGCTCTTTTATCTTGTTTTTTACCCCGCCTGCATTCCAGAATGCGATTTTAATGGTGCCATCGTTTTGGGTTATACAGTGGATGGTAGGGGCAGATTCGGCAGAAGTATTGGAGGATAGGATTCTCATATAGTTATGTCTAGGCATTGGAAGGGTCATTTGCATTTGTGTTCACTTGCCCCGGAATAAAGGAGGAAAGTAATAGCGTCATCTCTTCAATTTTTTTCTCTAACTGTGTCATTATACCCGATACTCAAAATGAGTATTGGGGTATATTAGATTTGTGGTAAAAGTGTATGTGTGTAACGTCCAGAAGGAATCGTTTCCGACCCCATAAAGTATATATATTCTTGATCAGCATCAATAGCCGAGTCGATTGAGCCCTGTCTGTCTGTCCGTCCGTCCGTCTGTCCGTCTGTCCGTCTGTCCGTCCCCTTCAGCGCCTAATGCTCAAAGACTATAAGAGCTAGAGCAACGATGTTTTGGATCCAGACTTCTGTGATATGTCACTGCTACAAAAATATTTCAAAACTTTGCCCCGCCCACTTCCGCCCCCACAAAGGGCGAAAATCTGTGGCATCCACAATTTTAAAGATACGAGAAAACCAAAAACGCAGAATCGTAGAGAATGACGATATCTTTTAGACTGCGGAATCTGAATTGGATCGTATTATTATTATAGCCAGCATCAAGAAAACAATTTCATTTTTTCTCGCCCTGTCTCTCTCTAACACACACGTAGCATAGGCGGCTTTGCTTAGAGTAAAACATTAGCGCCTAGATCTCAGAGACTATAAAAGCTAGAGCAACCAAATTTGGTATCCACACTCCTAATATATCGGACCGAGACGAGTTTGTTTCAAAATTTCGCCACACCCCCTTCCGCCCCCGCAAAGGATGCAGATCTGGGGATATTCATAAATCTCAGAGACTATTAAGGCTAGAGTAACCAAATTTGGTATCCGCACTCCTGTTAGATCTCACTATAAAACGTATATCTCAAAATTTCGCCCCACCCCCTTCCGCCCACACAAAGGACGAAAATCTGTTGCATCCACAATATTGCAAAATCGAGTAAACTAAAAACGCAGAATCATAGACAATGACCATATCTATCCGGTTGCCGAATCTGGATCAGATCGGATCATTTTTGTAGCCAAAAGCAAGAAATCAATTTTTAGTGGCTACGCAGCGCCCGACGTCACGCTCAGACTGATTTTCTGTCTCTCTCGCACGCACTCTTTGTCGTGTCGTTTAATATTAGCGGCGTCTGCCGGAGGAGAGCCATACTGACTTAGTATCGGGTATAACTGTAGAGTTGCGGTGTCCGCAGCAACTCACAACGTTCCCCCTCGTTCTTTTTATATTTTCCAGTATGACTTGTCTGCAGGAGCCGTCGCATCGTGAGGATGGCTGCTGGTGGTCTGGATCGAATTGGCGTTGCTGCTGCGGCTGCTGCCAGGAGCGTGCATTGACAAGCTGATGCTGCTGCTGCTGTCGCTGTTGTTGTTCGCGCTGCGGCTGCTGTAGCTGCTGCTGCTGTTGTGCCTGGGAACGGCTCAATGGCTGCTCTGGACGTCGTCGCCCAGTGCGTGGGCCAGAGGCAGCAGGCGTCTGTTTTTTTGTATGTATTGGCTGCT